TTTTGTCTTTTTTTGTGACCGGTAACGGGATCGCAACCCTCGGTGTCGCGCCCGCACCGCGCTCAACCAGTGAGTGGACCGGTCTCTATATGGGATCTGAACCCTCGGCGGGAGCGCCGCCACGCTCCCAAGTGCCGCATTCTACCAAGTGCGCCACTGGGCCGGCCCTCTCCCTCCGTTTTTATTCTCCAGGCAAGAAAGTTACAGAAAAGGAACACAGGTGGTTACGAAAGGAGCAGTAAGATATTTGTCATGGCAACAATCATTAGGTTGAGCTGCACCAAGAACATCTGCCCTTAGAGTCAGCATTTTTGCTATGTTACAATTTTTAATCTACAACAGAGACTTTAGTCCTGGGAAAGTTTTCTGTTTTTTCCCAAGCTTAGCATTTCTATGGCAATTCTAAAAAGTTAGACTATACCTTAAACTACCAGGCTTCAGCCCAGCTAAAACTATGTTTGCTCTTTAATGTTGGTATGCTCCACAACCTCCCACTTGGTGCCTCAGAATCCCAGGGGAGGGGCACAGAATCTGTGGGTCCACACTCTCTGGTGATTCTAGCGAATATCAGCATTTGCGATGCTGATCTAGCCCCTTCCAGTCAATGAGTCAGCAGCTCTTGGTCCTTCCTGTGATGGCCCCGTGTGGCTCTCATGGGGAGCAAGGACTGGAAGTTGAAGTCCACAGACTATTGTTGAGGAGCTTATGCTATAGCTAAGACCCATAGGCCTGAAGCACAAGTGTGTATGTTGGTTGACCATTCGTTCCACCCATTTGTTAAGGCACCTGCTCTGTGCAGAGAGCATTTCAGATTTGCTGGCCTGCTCACTCGGAGAAGGCTTAAGAAAGGACCAGGGAAATGGAAGGGTGGGGCGTCTGGGCTGTGGCCTCACTCCCTCTTGTCTTCGTCTTTGCAGGCCCTGCTGTGCTCCTGCTTCATCCCTTTCTTCTGCGGCTTCTTCCCTCCTTCCTTCAGAGGTGTGGTGAGTCTGCTTTGGGGCTATGAGAGCTGAGTCCTGGGGCTTTCCTTTTGAAGTGCGCATGTGCTGCTGCTCCTGCCTAGGAGGCAAAGCAACAGACTCAGGCACCCCAGGGCCCTGTCCAAATCCAAAAGCAGAGCCATGTGCCTCTCAGCCTTTCAGACAGAGAATCCATAGCTGTCCCCACTTCCAGGCTGCTCGGGCAGCAAAACTGACTTCACGTGTAATTAATTATCTCGCCATCTGTACGGTAAACTGGCTGGTTCACTTAATCTGCATGTGACACTGGAGATTGCTTCCTAGTGGCCTAGTTAAAGTATAAGACACTTAAGAATCTGTTACTCATATAAGGGAAAGCTTTATTCTTAGGGGGAAATAAATGTAACAGTCATATATTTTCTAAACCAAAAAAATAATCTATAAGTCTGGCCTAATATGGATTTTTGCTTTAGTTTGTTTTGCCATCTTTTGATGCACAAGAGAATGTTTGGTCTCTAAAATATTAGCCTTTTTTGGATTTTTGGATTAAGAAAAAAAAATGCTAACCCTTTAGGATCATTTTTGAACTCATGAGAATAGCAGCAGGATGTCTGATAAAGCCCAATAGGTAGCAAAAAAAAATGCTAACCCTTTAGGATCATTTTTGAACTCATGAGAATAGCAGCAGGATGTCTGATAAAGCCCAATAGGTAGCATAGGCATAACACAGTCACAGAAGGGACGCGCCTGTAGGGAGCATGTGATACCAGGCAGGTGCCACCCGTGCGTTCTCATTGAGTCCTCCTGCTGGAGGGGATGTGATTACTCATCCCCTGTGGCTGGTGGGGAAACTGAGAAGCAGACTTACCCAAGGGCGCATAGCCAGAGCCTGTGCTCAGGCCTCTCTGCTGCTTCCCTTGGGACAGGACGTGTCTTTGTTCACTGCAGGGCAGCTCTCGTGGGTCAGGGTGCAGGACAGGGGTCCACAGGGCCACTCAGGCCTGGCCACTGAGTGACCAAAGCATGTTTTTTGTTTGTTTGTTTGGTTGGGTTGTTTTGTTTGTTTTGTGGCTGGCTGGTACAGGGATCGAACCCTGGACCTTGGTGTTATCAGCACCATGCTCTAACCCACTGAGCTGGCTGGCCAGCCCCCAAAACATGTTTTGCATTCTGATGTTGCCGCAACTTGGCCCAGGTGGTACACCTTGTCCTGCCAGTGGCTTTGTGTAGGTTTTCGACTTCCCCAGAACTCAGCAAAAAGGCACCCAACCGTGTCACAGTGATGATCCCTGACTCCCCAGTGCACAGCTCTGGTTTTTCCTCCTGGTTGAGAGTTATAATCCCTCTGGGTCCTGCTCTGTCCTTTTTAGCACATGGCTTTGGTCAGAAGCTGCTGACCGTGCTAAGATTTAGTTCAATTCAATGAATATATGGGTTGACTGATTTGCTTGTTTGAAGTGTTTGTTCTGCAGGCTCTGGACTAGGTGCTGGCTCTGGGCTGGGGCACTTGGCAGCCTTGGGCCTCCCCCAGGGGACACCTGGATGTTTCCGGAGAGGGTCTTGGTTGTCATGACTGAGGGAGTGCTATTGGCATCTGGTGGATAGAGGCCAGGGATGGTGTTCAAGGTACTACAGTGCACAGGACAGCACCCCCTCAACAAGGAATTATCTGACCCCAAATGTAAGTAGCGTCAAGTTGAGAAACTCTGTTCTAAGGAAGGAAGACATGACATCCCACTGTCTCAGATCAGGAAGAAAGCTTTAATAGTGATGCCTCCTCACATTGCAGAGCAGGTTACGCTGAGCCTCACTCGTGTGTCAGAGCACCTCTCTGACAGATGCAATCTCATCCCTACTCACAGATGAGAGAACTGAGGCCTACAGTGATGAAGTGGTTGCCCCAGGCTCTGCATGGCAGACAAACCAAGAATTGAATGCCTGCTCTATCACATAATACCTGGGCCACTTTGGACACATCTCTTAACCCCTCTGAGATTGATTTGCAAATCGGGGATTAACAGTAGTGCAATATCACAGTTGATGTGGGAATTACATGCAGCAATGCAGGTAAAGGGCTTAGCACAGAGCCTGACACGTGGATTTGGTAAAGGTGGGTTATTTGATTATCATCATCATCCTCCCACTTCCCCCAGGCCACTCCGGCTCTAGTGGACGCACGATCCAGAGGGATCCTGCTGAAAAGTAGAACAAATTATTCTTGAGATTCAACCCAAGCAGACTCAAAACATTACTATAGAAAAGTTCAAAATGATGGAAAAATTATATCTGACAGAGGAATAATCAGACTTTAGATTAAACCTTGAATGACAAATGATCAGTCTGCTTCTTCCCTCCTTAGTCTTCACTAGAGATTCCTGACATTTGGTCCCCTGTCCCCTTATGTCAGTGAGGTTTGTGATGCCTTCATACATGTGCCGTAGAAATTGTGTGGCTACAATTTTGAAAATGTTGCTGTCTTCACATCTGATCATTTTTGGACTCAAAGCAAGAATGTCTTCATGGCTAGGATGTTGCTAAACATGCCGGATTCTTTTCTGGACTTGTTTCAGGCCAGGCCCTGCTCCGAAATTTCTCCTTTTAGAAGTTGCTCTGAAATTTCTCCATTTAGAAGTGTTGGCTAGGGAAAGGCTTTCAGTCGTAGTCTTCTGCAGGCCTTCCCTGTGGGCTCCTGACAGCTGGGCTGGGAATCATGTCAGACACTGATTTCACAGGTGCAGACTCTGTCCAAGTTGTAGCAAAGCAAAGTCTACCTGCCCCGGCTTAGCTGTGGGCACTAATGTTGCTTAAGAAAATAGGTAAAGAAAAACTCACCCCCAGAATAATTTATCCAAAAAGCCACTTTGTGAAGGAATAAGAGATCATCTTCTGAGAGCTGCCTAGGTCCTGGGTTCACTGTTTCATTTATGTATCAAAAGTCCCTCAGATGTTGTTTCTCATTTTCAAGGTGTTGGGAGGAGGGGCAGAGACAGGCTCACAGGTTCAATCTCTTGTCTCAGATTTCCCAAGCAGCAAGGGGATCTGGATTTGAACCCATGATCACCTGACTCCTCTGGGGCAGAGTTTACATCACACTCTCTCCCCAGTGCACAGAGCATCCCTAGTGTACATGGCCCCTTTATGCACACAGGTAGGGGCATACCTATGGGTGCCCACCTGGCCTTAGGACTTGGCCAGCACAATGTGGGCTGCACTCCAGTCTCCACCTACCTCTTTGCCAGGCACTTTTTGTGCAGTGCACACACTGTATAACATTATACAGCTACCCTGAGTGTCAGTGTAGAGCCTGGCCTGGCACAAAAATGCCCAGTAAGGATTTGTTGAAAGAATGATTTAAAAGCTGCTGTCCCCCCCTCACTGTATCAGTTTGCTTGTGGTTCTGAGAAGCCTCTGCCCATAATCTGACAACACGTTAAACACTAGCCCAGAGCTTTGGACAATATCAAAGCCTTTTTCCCCCTTCCTTAAAAGCGATACGTGGATGGAGGACTGAGTGACAACATGCCATACATTGATTCCAAAACGACTATCACCGTGTGCCCCTTCTATGGCGAACATGACATCTGCCCTAAAGTCAAGTCCACGAACTTTCTTCACATGAACTTTGGCCACCTCAGTCTACGCATCTGCTCAGGGAACACCTTTCTTCTATCCAGGACGTTCCTCCCCCCAGATATCAAGGTGAGTGAGGAAGGGGATTATCTGGGGTGTAGCTCTTCTTTACCTCGCTATTTGCCAGGAGATACCAGTTGTTCTCTGTACAAACAGAAACAGACCTTGTCACTGATGATTAACTCAGAGAAAAGTTGCTCGTCCCTGCTCAGTGATGCACCAGCCTGATGATGGGAATCACCTGGTAACATACACACAGCCCTGAAGGTCAGATCCCACTTCCAGGAACTGTGGTTTAAGTCATCAGGGGGTACAGCCTAGGCATTAGGATTTTTCATTTGTTTAATTACCAGAATGATTGTTATTTCAATCACCATATTTAGTGTTTTAACCTTTTTTGATTTTTGTTGTTTTAGTATGCTTAACCACTCTAATGTAGTAAGAAACTCTGTAGACGGTGGACACCAGTAGTTGGGCTCCTGGAGAGAAGTCAGGCTGTTCAATACGATGGGCACCCACAGTCCAGGCTCCAAGGGAGAGGGGCGGCTACAATGATCAGAGGACAAAATTACAACAAATTTAGTTTAAAGATCTCAATTGGCTTTATGTGTGATTCTAGAATAAAATATGATACATTGAAAATTGCTCTGACTTCAATAACTGAGGTCAGCTAAGTTCCCAAGCTCCTGGGATGTGGGGTGAGTGCAGTAGTCACATCCCCCATGTCCTGGAACATTGCTAAACAGTTTTCTTTGAGCCTAGAGACCAAACATGGTATCGGCTCGTAGAGCTATGAATTAACCTAAAGAATGTTGAAAGGAATGATGTGACCCTTAGGGATTCAGCAGTTGTTTAAAGAGCAACATGCAGCCATTGACCAACCACTAACTCACGTCGTGCTGGACAACCAATGTCAAGCCTGATTAAGGGGTTATCCTTCCCTGTTGCCTCCCCTTTTTGTGATTATAAGAATATCAAGCCCCATTTGTCCCTCGGAGCACTTCCCAAGGTGACCTGGTGTTTCCTGGGCTGCAGTCATTCATATATCGGCTCAGATAAACTCTTCTTTAAGCTGTACCTCAGTTTCCTTCCTCAGGTGGACAAATAGAATAAGTGTGCCAAAGAGGTTGGCTTTATAGAGAAGGGCTGCAGAAAGCAGAGCAAAGGACTAAGAATAATTCCAAAGCTGCTGTCCCTCGACCTTTCAAGGTTACTTGTTCTCGCAAGGTAGGGCCAGGGAGATAGAACAATAGAGAAATAACTGATCTGTTAACATCAGGTCACTCCTGAGGCTGCCTTTTTTTGTGTTAGGGTTAAAGCAGAGGGAATTCCATTATGCCGATTAAAGTTTTAAACCAGGGGTTGGTCGCCTACCTCAGTGGGTTAGAGTGTGATGCTGATAATACCAAGGTCCAGGGTTCCATCCCTGTACTGGCCAGCCACCAAAAAAAAAAAAAAAAAAAAGTTTAAACTGGCCTGTTTGGGAAATTGGCCATTACCTCTCTCACCTGATTTCTCGGTAGGTCAGACAACAACTTACTTTGGATTTGATGACATGGAACTTTAGCAAGGGTGACCCCATGATGATTTTTTTTAGTCTGGTCTGTTGCACCCTAGGGCTGGAGCTTAGTCCAGAACAATGGCCTCCTATAATTTTTATTTGACACAACCAAATTTATTTTCCTGTGTGATTTATATGCAGATTAGTAGAGGAGGTGATTGTTATTGTCCCAGTGACAACTAGAACAGGCCCCAAAATCTGTTAGGATGCAGGCTTGTCCTGGGACTGAAGGAGCCCAGAGAAACAAGCACCTGTCATGCTGGCATGAGCGAAGTCTCCGTGGAGGGGGACATTCAAGCCGAGTCCTGCAGGAAACTGTCTGCTGGGAGCACACTGTCTACTGGGCTGGCATGAGCGAAGTCTCCGTGGAGGGGGACATTCAAGCCGAGTCCTGCAGGAAACTGTCTACTGGGAGCACACTGTCTACTGGGAGCACACTGTCTACTGGGAGCACACTGTCTACTGGATGCACGGGTCTCTTGTTCAGCCTCAGTGGCTGTGCTCGGCACACACCAGTGGCTCAGAGCCTGTGGGATGCTTTCAGCCCTCTGCTGTGGTCTCCACGTGATGTTTAAGTAACTGGCACCGAGTGACTCTGCTCTGCATTTGACTGGCTTGATCTGCTCACAGGTGCACGCAGAGATCTCCTTTCGCGGATATTTAGACGCCTTAAGGTTCTTGGAAGAGAGGGGTATGTATGCACGAGGGATCAGATGGGCCCTTTTGATAAGCTTTTTAACAGTCTTGGTAACTGGAGATGTATCTTAGTTCTACCACTCAGGGCTCAACTTATTCGTTAGCCCCGTGAAATAAGAAATCTTTGCCGCATTTTACAGATGAGGACATTGAGGCTTGGAGAGGAGCACATCCCATCCCACCCCACCCCACGGGTCAGAGTTGGGATTTCAACCAGATGTCACGACTCCAGGGCTCTCTCCCTCCCCAGTGCCACCTGGTCTGAAGGCTGTTTGCTCTTCTTTTCTGCGTGAACTCTTGTGAACTCTAGTTTGACAAGGGCTGAAGTTAAGCGGGGTTTCTGGGACTGGGCCCAGAAGAAGCAGTCAGAATCCCTGTCTCCAGCCAGGCATGGGTCCCGCACCTAGATCAGTTGGTACTGCTTCCCAGGCCACATTCCTGCCTTCCAGTTAGCCTGGATCCTCTGGGCTGGGGGAGTCAAGCTTTGGGAATATTAGGGTGGAACCAAATGATAGACGTGTTTGGAGCTATTTTTCTTTGATACTGAAAGTTGGTTGATGTATGGATCCTCTGAATTAGTCTTTGGCCAAGACCATGGAGACTGTGTTTATCTACTCAGAAAATGTTCATTGTGCACCTTCAGGGTGCCAAGCAATTGGCTGTGCTCTAGGGACACTGCAGTGAACAGAGATGACAGCCCTACCAGTCTCTTGGGAGCAGTGAGCAGACAGTAGATGGGAGGTTGACCTACTCAGAAAATGTTCATTGTGCACCTTCAGGGTGCCAAGCAATTGGCTGTGCTCTAGGGACACTGCAGTGAACAGAGATGACAGCCCTACCAGTCTCTTGGGAGCAGTGAGCAGACAGTAGATGGGAGGTTGACAGTGTGCCAACAGGAAGATACAGGATGCTGTACGTTCATGCAGGAGCAATCTCCAAGGTCTGAGGGGATGGAGGGGATGTAGGGCTTCCAGAAGGAAGACTTCCCCAAAGTCTTCCACATCAAGACTTTGGGGACGAGTGGGAGAGCTCTAGGCATGGGGGACATGGATGGGGGACCTGCAGGACACAGAAAGGATGGAACAAAGGCCTGCAGAGCTGGAGTGGGACAGGGTGGGGGGGAGGGACACAGAGCTGGATGGAGAAGAGGGGACAGGAATGGCGATAAATGAAAATGGAGTGGGGCTGGGCCTTGGAGACATGGTGAGGGTTTGCCTCCTGCAGCAATAGGGAGCCACTGAAGGCTGCTGAAGCAGGAGGGGGGCGGGAGGGCTGGAGAAGAGCTTTGCAAGGCCCTGACTGCAGTGCATGAAGGGTGAGACCGACATCCTGGAAGCAAGGGTAGTAAGAAGGAAACCAGTTTGAAGGTGCCCAAGGGAACAGGACTTGGAAGTGACCCCAGGAGGTTTGGGAAAAGGTAGACTCGAGGGTGATCTCAGCTTTTGGCTTGAACTCCTGGGACGAGGCAAGACGGGACTCTGCTCACTGGTTGAGGGCACACGAGAGGGAGGGAATTGGGGGAAAGCTGCTGTGCTCCATGTCCTAAGGCAACATCTTTCTGGGAGCAGATTCTTTGAAGCGTATTACGGGAAAGTGACGTTCTTGAGGGTGAGGAGGGAGAGATCTGGGAAGCACAGTTGTGAGGTCCCTTGGGGAGCAAGGTGCAGCTGTCATAGAGCAGTCCCTGGTCTTTTTAACCTGAGGTTGGAAGTGAGAGTTGAGCTAGGTGCATCAGAAATGACTTGTCCCCTGCCCCAACCCAGCGTGGGAATTCTGTGAGAGTGGGGACCGCTCCCTGGTGTCAGTGGCTGAGTACGGCACCTGGGCAGGGTCTGGCACGTGCAGGTGCATGGCACTGCCTTATTTCAGGCTTCTCTCATAGCTGTGTGGTCAGGGTGCCACCTTTGCTGTCAGACCCTGCTTCGAGTCCCAGCTCTGGCACATACTGGCTCTGTGGCTGTGGACAAATCTCTTGCCCTCTCTGTGCTTCTGATTCCCCAGCTGAGAAATGGAGATGCTGATAACGGTAGCCGAGGAACAGCTGCTGTAAGGCCTGATGGTGAAGTGCCTGGCTCAGGGCCTGGAACACAGGCTTACCCAGTGGTTCAGTAGTTAGAAATTAATTACAATCCTTGTCTTTCAACCTCATGAATCCGGATGGGGAGGTAGAGCCCACGCAGCTAGTGAGTGACAGAGCCAGGAGCTGAACTCACATCTGTCCGGCTTCAGAGCCCCACACTTCTTTCTCCCTGTTACAAGGGCTGTCCCTGTTGCATCCCACTCCCCTTGTGTGTAGCTGAAAATGGCTCCCTCGTGGCTGCCCAATAATTCTGTGGGCGGTGGGTGGGTAATGACCCGCTTCCCCGTTTGTGTGATGGGTTTGTTTTCTGTGCCCTTTGTAGGCATCTGTAACAAGCTCCAGCCGTGCCTGAATTTATCCTCAGAAGAGGTGGAGTCGGAGTTTGCTGTGCCCAGCTGGGAAGAAAAGAGCCCAGAGTCTTCCCCAGGGCCGGTGGCCGCGGAGCTAGGGCCTGAGAAAGAGGAGCTGCTGGAGCACCTGCGCCTCAGCATCCTGCCCTGGGATGACAGCATCCTGGAGACCCTCTCGCCCAAGCTTACCACAGGTACCGGCTCCGTGGGGGTGGCAGCGTGTGGGTTTCCTGTGAGTGCTGAGAGAGTGGAAGGGCTTCTCTCCTGTGTGTCATGGAGGAGGGTGACGCTGCCACATGGGGAGCGGTGGGGTGGAGCCATGGGGACAGGCTTCTCACCCAGCCCTGCGCCTCGCTGGCCTCCCTTCCCACGGGGGCATGACCAGGAGGAAAACCAATGGCAGCCGAGCCCATCGGGGTTGACCGCACAGGCTCACCACTCCAGCAGCCGGGCCCTGCACTCGCCTTTCCAGCTGTGTCTCCCTCACTCCTGAGCTCCTCCTGTGTGGACCCCAGGGGCACGGGGGTCCTACCTCTGGGACTCGGCCCATTCCTTCGGAACAGCTCTCTGGTTGCTCTTCTCCACCCATCTCCAGCCTCCTCTCTGGAGCTGCTGCTTCTGATTCCGCCTTCCCCCAAACCCACAATTTTGAATCTCCCCTGAATGGTGCTACATTTTATAATGTCGACAAATACTGAATGGACAAGAGCTATGGTCTGAATGTTTGTCCCCCCCAAAATTCATATCTCGAAATCTCAATCCCTCAAGGTGATGGTGGTAGAAGGTGGGGCCTTTGGGAGGTGAGCAGGGATTGGCACCTTTATAAAAGAGGCCCAAGAGAGATCCCTTGTCCCATCCACCATGTGAGGACACAGAAGGCACCATTCGTGAGAAAGTGGGCCCTCACCAGACACCAGGACATCTGCTGGTGCCTTGATCATGGACTTCCCAGCCTCCAGAACTGTGAGAAATAAGTGCTCATTTATAACCCGCCCCATTTGTGGTACTTTATTATTGCAGCCCGAATAGACTCAGACAGATAGGTGAATGCACATACCAGCTTCTGAGTCAGGCATTTGGAGAAATTCAAAGATGAGTCAGACACAATTCCTAGCCCATGGGGTGCTAATATCCTAAGAGCTGGGAGACGCAGCTGCCCATATTAGTATGATTTGAGGCATCCTGAGGTCGGTGGAGAGGGGAGAGAAAAGGCGGGGGCCCTGGGAGGAAGGAGGTGGAACCCAGCTGAGGGTGCAGGGAGCAGCGTGCACAGCTGGTGCTGTCTGAGAAGCTCACTCACTCCTGCTGATGTTCTTGTTGATTTAAGAGGGTTGTTTGTGGGGAGCCCTGTGTCCTGCATGCCATCACGGGCCTCCTGGGCTGGGCTCCTGACTTGATCTTTACATCACCCTCGCTGTAAAAGGAACAGCCTGCTACACCTCACCTCCTGTCTCCTGTGTGAATGTGTCCTACTCTTTGGCTGCCAGGATTATTGTATTTCATAGAAATTCCAAGCATCGGTGGAGTAAGGTGGTGTGGTTTCTCACACTGGTGAGAGATATGTCTCCAAATTGTCTTTTCCAGTAATGACTGGAGCAATGAAACACAGAGATGGATATGTGAGCAAGATCTGTAGCTTCTTACCCATCAGGATACTGTCCTATGTGATGCTGCCCTGTACCCTGCCTGTGGAATCTGCCATTGCCTTTATCCAGAGGTGAGTGTTTTATGTAGCTCTGTGCCTTCCTCACAGGGTTGGTGTGAGATGAGATAACACATATAGGGCTCTGAGCCCAGGGCTTGGCTCCTTGGACCGCAGGAGGCAGCTCATGGTCTATATACAGCACCCCTGAAAGTTGCCAACCAACCATAGAGCCACATGCACCTGTAATTCACTGTGAGCTCTGAAACCTCCCAGGGGACTCAGAGCTGGCAATGGCCTCACATAGCATCTGGTCCAGCTTCTTATGATTGCTTGGGGAAACTGAGACCTGGTGAGGTTGGGTCACAGCTCTGAGGTCACAGAGCTGGCTAGTAGGAGGACCAGGTCTAGAAACAGGGTCCTCGCTGTCCCTCAGGCCTGTTCCCCTTGCAAAAATCATGTTAAGGTAGTAGAGTATTCCATCTTTTGTTGTAGTCATAGTTTCTTAATAGGATTCAGAGTCAGCAATCAGGAGTTCAGAGTGAGATGTTCCTAGAACTTACTGCTCGGGCTCCCTCTGACACAAGGGGCAGAGTGGTCAGCAGCTTGGCTCAGGAGTCAGACTACCCCGGTTCAAATCCTGGCTGCATCACTTACCAAGCTGTGTAACCCTGGACAACTAAATTTACCTCTCTGTGCTGCAGCTTCCCATCTAGAAAATGGGATTGTAAGAGAAATCCCTTACGCCAGGGGATAGTCAGGAGACTCAGTGATGTGCTGTGCGTGAAGTGCTTGTCATATAGTAGCATCCAGTTAGTGGTGTCGTTGATTTCTGTTTTCAAATGATAATAACAGTAAATCTGGCTGGTTAGCTCAGTTGGTTAGAGCATGGTGCTGAGAACACCAAAGTCCAAGGTTCAATCCAGGTGGCCAGCCACCAAAAAAAAAAAAAAAAAAAAGACAGTAATAATGATAGCAAAAATTAGATGACAGACAAAAGAGTATGGGCTTTATTGATTTATTTTTCTCACCACTATACTAACGAAGAGTATGGGCTTTAGAAACAGACCGGGACTCGGCAGTTCCTAAGCTGTGTGACCTCAGGCAAGTCACTCAACTTCTCTGAGCCTCAGAATTCTCATCTGTAATATCTGGATGAGAAAATCTACCTCGGTGGGTTTTCAGGAAATGGAAGACACTTGATTTTTAAAAAATCACCCTGGTCTGAAGAAAAAATTGAGCTAAGAGATGTCAAGAATGGGGGAACAAGGGCCTGTAGGAAGTTCAAGAAAGGGGGAACCAAAGGGCCGGCCCGGTGGCGCACTGGATAAGTGCGCCGCTTGGGAAGCACGGCGGCGCTCCCGCC